TAGCGAGCGATTTACTTGGCACTTGTCAGGCATAATTTTCCCTTACTAAGGTGAAGGACGTCTAATTTTATTTAATATCAAGTGTAAAAACAACTTTCTAGATTCAGCCTTGTTCAAACATGTTTCGTGCGTGCTGTGCGAGTTGTACATGATAATCTGATTTTCTTGCGGTCTACTTTTCTACACTCTGGCTTGTCAAGCCGGGTGGCTGTGTTGCTTAGCAGGTTGATAGCCAGGACTAAGCAGACTGAGCATGTTCAGCTTGCAGATTCGGCCAATAATTACGAACCAGACTCATGCTGGCTGGCGCTTGGCGCTTTTGCCTATGCGAATCACTCTGGACTCTGGAGTTGGATCTTTCAGACGGTACGCCTCACCGCCAGGTGTAGAGCATCAGAAAATGCGCCGACAGGGAGGGAAAGAAACCGAGCTTGGCGAGGCGACTTGAAAATGGTTGCCTGTAGGTCACCAACAGAAACAGGAGTATACTGAATATCTGAGCACTTCGTCACTAAAAACTTGGGCACCCACAGAAATATCGAGGCACAGAGCTTACCGGTCGATGCCCTCAAGCCATAGACAACTTTTAAAAGTGCATCTTAGACAGAACACTACCCCTTTCACCCCAATTTGTGACAGCGCAAGACTATCATAACTTCTCCGCATACCTCTCCATGCTTACCTAGGTAGCTAACAGTACTTCGGTTTCCATGACCTCTTCAAGCTCAACGTCAGGCACCTCAAAATGTCGCTAAACATTCCGCAATCCGAAGGGTATTTCAATTATTCAGCTCTGCCACAAAGCTCGATCTGACTTGTGTAGATCGAAAGTGTATCATCGTCATCTCGCCAAGCGGCAGACGATTTAAACAAGGGTGTCTAAATTTCGCTCCACGACTACCCGATTTCATCGCACCCGTACTATCACTCCGTCATAGGGCTGGGGAGAAGCAGAAAATCTTTGTGAGAACGAAAAGCCACAAGTTTTCACACCTGTGGAGTCTGTGGCGCCCGAACATGAGACCCAGACCGATAACATACTCGTCGCCAAGAGAATACAGTACGATCACATCAACCAGATTAGCACCGCGGGATATGTCATGATGGAAGGGAACGTTGATATAGATTAGGACTTAAGAAGATACATATTTGAACTCCTCAACTTCATATACGGAATTTAAGATGGGTGTAGAGCAGAAGTCACAAGGGTCAGTGAATCTTTATCGTGACTGGGCTTTTCTTTTCCTTTCCTTTCCATTCCTTTTTTTTTTCTTTTTGGTAAAAAGACCATACATTTATTTATCGACTTCCTGGCTCTACTTTGTTCAAGAGAAGAGGAAGAAGACGAGCTGAGTTCATCAGTAGAACAACGTGTAGAGATACCTTTTACATGTATCCTCAATTGCAGGGCTCTTCTTCAACATATACTGAGCTTCAGATTCCGTCTGATACACGATTGCCCAGTAGCACAAGATGCCAGACAAAGCGCATCTGATTCCAATCTCAAGCAATACATGAGCTTATCGACCAGGTTCTCGAAACGATAACCTGCGAGTCGACTGTTTCTTCCTGATGCGAGAAACTCACGACCAAGATACCATAACGTACAGGACAAATTTGCGAGTAGAGAGCAGCGTCAAGAGGCTTTCTATATCGGTTATATGGTAGACTCCATCCAAGACCTCATGGTAACGGCTGGGGAGGCTAGCACCAGATCTGAATTGGTCGACCTACAAAGAAACCACCCTAAGACTTCGCACAACCTACAGAGGTCGATTAGAGCAATATTTGCGCTGAATTTTGTTGCTCGACTAAATTCGTTTACGGACTTACGTGGCCGCGCGGACCCGCCGAATCTGTATTGGAGTCAAATCCCCGAGTGGAAAAGATGAAGATTGGATCCTACACGGCTTGGAGTTGCCAGAGAGTTTCAGGCCGGTAAATTCCGATCCGGACACATTCCAGTTTCTGGGTATTGCCATCGTATCAAATATGGTTGCTGACGTTGTGGGAATGGGGGAAAGTTCAATTATGTGCATCGGTATTAGAGGAGGACAATACACATCAAGGGACCACGTTCAGATATTATATTCCGAGCCAACAGCAGGAGAAAAGTGCATGATAACAAGTCTCAAAATGATATTGGAGGCTCAAAGAAGTGATTACTATTGAGTAAAATTACATGGGGCGGTTGGCTACCTATCAGCATCCTGGGAGGTTGCTCTCGTGATGCTTCACAGCCTACATCACACCAACCAACCATGGATCGGTTTCACTCCGTTTGTGAGTCACACAGATGGCCAGACTAAGCGGAAATAAGAAGCTGTGTAAGATGTATGAATCCTTCGACCCGTCACTCCGTTTCCCCCCTCCCGAGTTCCTGGTTTTGTTCAATGAGGCAGTGAGGCTGAGTCTCAGATGCAATTTGCTCGTTGTTGGTGCTGTTGGTGCCGTGTGGTCCGTGCCGCAGAGGGAAAATGCGGCGAAACGAAAATGGGAAAGAGCCAGGGGATGGAAGAAAGTACGCACGCGACCACCTGCCACAGCAACGGCGATTCACCGCAGCTTACTCCGTCTCACCTCATCAAAGTCTCACTCATCTCTCAATCTCATTCTCACTCTCACTTTCACGTTCACTTTCACTCTCACACTCTTGTTCACTTCATTACTCAAAAGCTCGTCTCAAAACAACTAGAGCGGCTCCTGTTTCCCTGATTCATCAACATCATTCTTCCATCCACCTACAAAAGGAGAGCCGCAACCGCACCCAGATGATTGAGGGATCGCCAAGCTAAACCACCCACACCAACCAAGCATTCAAAAGGTCCATGATGCTGCAGCGTGCATACCGCCCCAATGCCGGGGCCTACCTACGGTTCCACGCCCCCGCGCGTACCGTCCGCTCTTCGGCTCCGCGTTGGACGCGTCCAAACTCGAGTAGCACCGGCCCGTCACCAAGTTCCTCCTCCAACTTACCAAAGTACGCACTCGGAGCTGCTAGCGTCGCCGCCGGCTGGTTCATCGCCGATGTGGTGCGAGATCGCGGAAATGGCAACGGCAAGCCCACCAGCATCCCTTCGAGCCTGAAGCCTGTCACTCTTCCCAGCCTGGGATCCGGACCCGTTGACTTGGATGCCCTGGCCAAGACACCGGTTGATGGCGGCAGCTTCGAGACTGCGGATGCGAAGCTCCGTGAGGATGTCTTTGTGGGATCTTTCACTGCTGAGGGCAAGCACACTCATGTCCACGCCGCGAGAGTCGCGAGCAACCACCCTGTCGAGGACGTCATGACATTCTCCCTTGGCCCGGGTGTTGGAGAATCAGAGACATTGTACAACGGCGTCTATGATGGTCATGCGTGAGTCTCAATGTCATCTTCGCCTCTCAGATGCTTCTAGTACTAACCGAAACAGTGGATGGGCAACCTCGTTACTGCTCAAGAGCGCCCTCATCCCCGCCGTGTCCTCCTCCATCGCCCAACTCAGCCGTGGCACCGAAGACGCAGCAGTCGAAACAGCCATCGTCAAGGCCTTCACCAACCTCGACGACCTCATCACATCCAATGCCCAAAAGGCCATAGCCGGCCTGAAAACCGGCGCCGTCGAGCCCGCCGACTCCAAGGTCATCGCCGCCATCGCCCCCGCCATCGCAGGCTCATGTGCCCTCCTCTCCATCTTCGACCCAGCCACTTCGACCCTTCGAGTCGCCTGTACCGGTGACTCCCGCGCCGTCCTGGGCTCCATCGCTCCCGGCGCGACCTCGTACTCGGCGCGCGCCCTCTCCAAGGACCAGACGGGCCACAACAAGGATGAGTTTGACCGCATCGCCAAGGAGCACCCGGGCGAGGAGGCGGATATGATCGACACCAAGAGCGGCCGCCTCTTCGGCATCGCCATCACCCGTGCATTTGGCGACCACCGCTGGAAGTGGACTGCGGACGCCATCAAGGAAGCCCAGAACGACTTTTTCGGCACCGGTGTGCGGCCCAAGTACCTCACGCCGCCGTACATGACCGCCGCCCCCGTCGTGACCACTGTGACCGAAATCAAGGGCCCCGACTTTGTCATCCTCGCTTCAGACGGCCTGTGGGACCACATTTCGTCCGAACACGCGGTGGAATGCGTGTCGCGCTGGATCACGGCCAAGAAGGCCGGCGAGAAGACGCCTCGAGACAAGCTCGCCGTGGCTCCGGGCGTCAAGAGTGAGTTCGACATGTCTGCGGGTTGGGCGAACTGGTACGCCAAGCCGGAGCACTTTGTCGTCGAGGATCTCGACAACGCGGCTGTACATCTGATCAAGAACGCGCTGGGCGGTACGCGCAGGTCCCTCTTCACCGGCGTCACGCTCGCATACCCGCCGTTGGCTAGGAACGTCAGGGATGATGTTACAGTTCAGGTCATCTTCTTCCAGGACCCGGCCAAGGAGGCTTGATGATTTTGGGTTGCCTGCAAACATGCAGAGCGATTGAACATTTCCTCATCTTCCCGACTTCAGGGCACGGCGTTAAGTTTCATGAGATTCAGGGGCGTTTCTTTAACAGCTCAAATGCCATGCCATGGCCCAGACTCTGAGGAGTTTATGATGCAGAGCGCATCATCATCAACCAACATCAATATCACAATTTATGATAGCAAAAACACGTAGAAAACTGATAAACCCCCGAAAAATAATACAATAACACTACCCATGGCAAGAAAAAGATCCCATATCCCCAGTGTCAGGCCGCCAAATCCCTGTGTCCAAGTACGTAACATTCGACACCTGTCGGCAGAATGACAATGGCAGCCTCAACTCACTCACATATCTACTCATGTCACAGCAGTAACAATTACTTCAACCGGTAGATTGACGGGATAGGAAACTATAAAATGACAACCTCAAAAACTGGGCCCCGTGTATCTGCCCTGAAGACTGCATTTCTCTTTCTCATCGGCCGGAGCAGGAAACGTGGAAACGCCTAGACGCCGCATCTTCATCCGTCACTCAACAATTCAAACCCCTCAAATGAGGAGGAAATCATCATCAAAAAACTCCAAAGGCAACGCCCTAGCAATGCCAGCCTGTGGGGGCTTCTGGCAGTCGCAATTCTTGCAGTTCTTGCCATTCTTGCAGCAGTTCATAGGCTCCGTGATGACGAACTCTTCCGTGAGGTCTAGCGCATCCTCATGGCTGACAAAGTCAAAGGCCTGGACATCGTCTTCCTTCTTGAGCCTATACACTATGCCTTGACTTGGGTTCGCGCCGGGACTGGACCAATTGTGCTGTGATTATCCGGTGTTAGCGAGGGATTAATGACAAGGCGAACCGATGCGATTTGTACTTACAGGGTCAATCACAGGAGATAGGGGAGAACTTAGCGAGAATGGAGGAATCTCACGATCGTCCTCAACCTCTGGTGCCTTTGACACCTCATCCGACTTGGCCACAGTCTCGGGCTCGTGACGAATCTCCGCTGAAACGGCGTCCCGGTCGATTTGCTCCTCCGCTCTGGCCGCGGTAGCAGAGATCCGACCCAACTCCTCCGAGATGGAATGGATGCTCTTCGTCGCCGAGAGCTGCCAGTTCTTGATCATCTCAATCATATCGGCATACCCCTGCTCAGGGTTGTAAACAGGCTTAGATGAGACGTCAGAAGCCTCAATCTGCTGCTTCTTGGCTTCGTACTCTGCCTGCCGCTTCAGCTGCACCCGCTTCTGCTCCTCTCGCTTCTGTCTCTCCTTGTACTCGTACTCTTGTCGCTGCTTCTGCATGAGCTCGGCCTCACGCTGTCTGACTCCACTCCGCAGCGCTTCGAGCTCCTGCTTGCTCTTGAGCAGAGCTTCGTGGCGCTGCTGCTGCTTGAGCTTGAGCTCTTGTGATGCTTTCTTCCTGCGCTTGAGGTCTTGTTCCTGCTGCTGCTGCTGCTGCTGCTGCTTTTGTTGAAGCTGATACTCCTCTAGTTGCTTCATCTGGCGCTGGTACTCTTCTCTCTGCCTCTGCTTGGCTTGCTCTTCCTGACGGTGCAGCTCTGCCTGCTTCTGCTGCAGCTTCTGCCTCTCCTCCTCTTGCCACTTCTCGTTCTCGTGGTTGCATTCTTGCGCGTTCTTCAACAGCAACTCGACGTAATCTTGCTGCTGTTGCTTTAGCTTGAGCTTGTGCTCTTCTTGCTCTTGCTGCTGCTTCTGCTTGACCTGGAACTCCTGACGCTGCTTCATCTCGAGCTGATGCTTCTCCAGCTGTCTCTGCTTGGCAAAGTTCTCTTGCCGTTGCAGTTCTTCCTGCCTCTGCTTCTGCTCAAGCTCGTACTGTTGCTGCCGCTTCATCTGGACCTCTCGCTCCAGGTGCCTGGTGATGCGCTCTTCCATTCGACTCCGTCTGCGCGCTCGCGCTTCGTCGTGCTCCAGCTTAAGCTGGTACTCTCGCTGTTGCTGCTGTTGCTGCTGTTGCTGCTGCTGCTCAAACTCTTGTCGCTGCAGCTCTTTCCGTCTCAGCGCCTCCTTCTTCAACTCCTCTTCTTCTTGCGCCTTCTTCGCGAGGAGCTTCTGCTGCTGTAATCGCTGACGAGCAGTCTCCGCTGCCTGTCGGAAATGCTCTTGACTGTTCAACGCGAACGCAGCTCCCTCGCGCTGCATATCTACGACTGGCTGTTTCGAATTAGATTCCTTCTGGCGATAGTAATCTGTCATCTGGAACAATACCTCCCCCATTACCTTACGCTTCTCGGCTTCGGTCTGCTCGGTAACCGGGTTGCGCGGGAGAGTCCGGCCGCCGGCCGCGAGGAAAGGTTCCGGACTTTGATTCTCCTGCTGAGGAGGAGGAGGAGGAGGAGGAGGAGGCGGGCCATGGCTCACCCGAGTCCCAGGGGTGCCCCTCTGGGCCTGTCCTGGCGCAACGGGAAGGTCCTGTATCATGGTCTCAAGGACAGACCGATGGAAAGGACCAACAGTAATTGGGGAGCCCGTCTCCACCCCGTCAACTTTGGTCCTACAGTACGATTCGTGGGCCCTCACTGCTTCCTTGGGAGGCTCCATCTTCAGTCCTGTATCCCCATCCATCCAAACTATGACCGGCTCACCCCGCTTAGAAGTAGAGCGAGGCCGCGTCTGACCCTCGGCCTCGGCCTCCCGCTCAGCCGAAGCTCGCTCCATATCCTGCAACAGCTCGAAAGTCTTGTCTGCACACTTAGCCTTCTTCTTGCCGTGGGGATGATCATGCCTGAAGACAGAATGAAGACCCGCCTCGGGACCGTAGGGACACTGCGAGGGATCTTTGCAGATGATATCGTCCGCGCGCACAGAGTACGATGCATCTGAGCTGCGCGTGTGGCGGGCTGCCGATCGATGCAAATTACTACTTCTCTTGCCGGAGGGAAAGGGCGCATCGGGGGCGATATTTGCTCGAACCAATGCCGGTGGCGCGGGTGATTGATTAGAGCGCGTCGACGATGCCATGTTAATGCTTCTCTTACTTGATGTACCAGTTAGTAACGTATGGTCATCAGGCGAGGCAGTGACTGACCTCAGGGGCCTGATCTCCGGGTCCTGGCCCTCTCGTTTGAACGGGAGTGATAATGACATTGCGAGTGAGCTGAAAGCCTTGGTGAAGAAGGATATGCTTGAGGGATTCGATTCTGTGTTCTGGGCAAAGTTTTCAGGAGGAGAAAACTTCGGTGTGTGGCAGAAATATCAAGGGCAATATGAATACTGACAAAAAAGCTTACCACTGGTGTCTACCTTAGGTTCCATTCATTAAAGTTGCTCTGTGTATCATGTATGGCCTCTTCAAGCATCCTTCCACAATACTCACCACGTTGGGGTCAACGGGGCGTTGGTCACGAGAAAGGCGTCAGGACACAAAGGTCGGGACTCGCCACGTTTAGGAAAGAAAAACGGCCGTACATGTCCTCGCATCCTTTCAGGCGCGACGCGGTAAGTGTACGAAAAGCTCCAACGTAAGTACAAAGGGTATCCGCAGAACCGCTTCGAAGCCAATTCCAAATCGCATTTCTTTCGTTCCATATCATAGCTCCGTTGAGTTCTTTCGTTCCAAGCTCCAAGTCTTTCTGATCCCAAGTCATGCTTTGGGAAGAAGCAGAACTGTAGTCAGAAAGTTGAGCATCTAGGTGGTCGGGCCGTGGATTGTCCTTGTGAAAAGACATCGTAGGTGCAACGGGAGGTCGTCATTCCTCGCCCTCTGACCCATCCCAGTCATTCTCGCCGTCAGAGTCGAGACCTGGATACTCGGACCCTTCATCCCTCAATTTTGAGGTGGCCTGGGTGATGAACTTGCCGTCCGGCTTGAGGGCCGCATACATGCTCGGGACCACAGGGACAAGGACTCTGTCAGGCCCTGCTGTAGCCATTGCCTTGATGAACTGCAGTTGAATGCCCGCCATCCGCCAAGCAAACGTTGTTTTGCGGTTGTAAAACATCTTGAATGTTGTACTGCCACGCAGTAAAGCCCAGGTGGTGTGGTCCTCGCTCGCGTACGTCTGCCTCAGTATAGCGTCGGTCAGTGGCTCAAGCGCACCATCTGGACGGGGTCGAATCGAGCGCCATTCTTCATATACTTCGAGTATGGCGCGGTTCGTGTTATCCTTGTCTTTGCTCGAGCCAACCTTTTTGCTCCAACTCTTCTCAGCACCTTCCAAGTCGGTCTTGAGATTTCGCAAAATCTTCTTCAACGCCAAGTTCTCCGTTGCAAGTTTCCCAAATTCTTCGTGAAGCTTGGCAAGGTCAGGATCCCACAGTTCCGCTATAAGCTCGTCTCCGCTAGCTTTGGTCGAGCAAAGAGATCGCAGCTCATACCCAAATTCGTTCGACCTCGTGGACATTGACTTGTGGAACTTTGCCAGCTCCTTTTCAATGGCTGGCTTCGCCACCACGAACCTTAAAATATCAATTATGTGGACTGGTGTCCCAGAATGCGACCAACTCTCAGACTTGTAAGCGGGCTCTGGCAACCCGTTAAATCGGTGACTGTCGAGCCGCTCTCGGCAGAACCTATGCCAATCTTCCGTCGTAAAGTCAAAGCCCTGTTTGGCCTGGTCAACAAGGTTGCCAAGGAGGGCGCTCAACCAGAGGGCGTAAGTGTTGTTCACGCAGTTCAGGTGGTAGCAAAGTCTCTCCTTGTAGGCGGTTGCAATACCCAAGAAGCTAGGCCTCATGCTGAAGGCAATGCTGCGGTTGATCATTTCCGATATAGCTTTTTCGCCCTGCTCTTCAACAAGGTCCCCAAAAGTTGTTTTGTCTTTCCTCAAGTAGCTTGACAAGTCGGGGCTTGGCGATACCTCTGCATTTTCAAAGTTTGACACAATTGCTTGCTCCCAGCAGACCCATGCCTTGTCGCCGTCATAGTCACCACCTGACAGTTTGTCCGCTAGAGGGACGTTCCCTTTAGCTGAGAAAACAACGACATCTTTGAGAGCATGTAGCTCCGGTCTGAATACAGCCTTCACCCTCTGAACATCGCTCACAAAGTGCACTGGAGAACGAGCCACGAGAACGTCGCAACCATGGAGCATGGAGTCCGAAAAGGTCTCGGTCTGGAATTTCGACGAAAAGCCCACGTGCACTTCGTCCTCTTCGAGTATGTTCCACATGTCCATCACCATGAGGAAGTACGCTGAGTTGGGCACCTTGATGCTCATCTTCTTCAATAGATTTTCGCACTTGTTTCGCCTTAGCGTCCAGGCAATCTCTTGAAGGTATTTCTGCTTCATTGGCTCGAATCCACCATCCAGAAGGAAGCTCATGCGTTCTTCTGGTGACTCCGGAAGACCAGCCAAGAAAGGCACCCGCCCAAAGGTAAGGCGCTGCTTTCTCGTGGAAGAATTTTCAACGATCCATTTGCGGAACTCCAAGGGATATTTCATCGCATGCTTTTGCTCCTCTAGCGCACGACAAAGTTCGTCTTCGAGGATTTTGCTAATGGTTATTTTCATCGCTTCTCTGTCTTTGGCTCGATCTTCGAGGACTGGAAGGAACTGGACGTTGAGGCTAGCAGATCGTGGCTCCATTGAATGAGCACTAATTTCGAGCGTGCGATGCTCTGGATCATCATAGTCACAATTCCACTTCCGTTGAGATGGCCACGTCTCTATCCACAGGCTATCGTCGTCACCAAGGACGTCGATCATCCACATACCCTTGGCAGAACCAAAGCGACCCTGAACAGCAGACGGAACATCACTTAGTCCGAGAACATCTCTGACTTTCCGGGCAAGTGCGCGAGACATGAGGCCGAGTCCGTCGTTCATGACCATGTCGGTGGGCGAGCGCATGTCCTTTGACCGGTGACGTATTTGGTTGGGCTCGAGAACGACCACTGGCGTCGTTTTGCTCAATCCTGTGAAGCGGATCAGTAGACGTTCCAGACTGCAGACTTGTATGTGCCTCTCTCACCAAGCTGGATACGGGAGAACAACTTGAGAAATGGCTGTTCCTTGTTGTGCTCAAATTGAAGAAGCCAGGCAAGCATCTCTCCAGTGCTGAGCTTGACCCTAAACTCCCGAGGGTTGTCATGAGAAGATTTCCCAAGAGGGAGAGCTACATGGAAGTTGTTGCCGTTCTCGGCGAAGAGACTGATTCTGTCTTGATAGACGGGCTTTGGCTCAGGGCCCAGGTTCAGGTTTTTCTGTGGCGTTTTGTAACCGGCATCTCTGGAGAAGAATGCCCGCCACTGCCTGCCTGCGAGGTAATGCCGCTTTGAGGAGAACCAATGGACGACCTCTTGTGACACTTCGGGCTCTTTGATGGGTTCATGCCACCCTTTGGGATTTGGGATCAAGATTTCAAGAAACCGATCGGAACCGAAATGGCGGTGCAGACGACAGCCCTGATCTAAGGCGATGGGCTGCATTGACAGTGAGAACATGGGGCCCTTTTTCTTCGCCCGAGGAACTTGATCAAAACGAGCCGAAAAGACTACTTGCTGTCCTCGGACTGTGTTAAAGCCAGACATGGCAGCAGCCCAGGCGTCGGTACTGGGACGCTCAGGAAACGATTTGCCAGCGAAATCGGGGTGGGCTAAGAGAGACTTCCACAGTTGGCTATAGTTGATCCACGATTCATCATAGTCCATCATCACTTCTCCAAGGTCGACTCCACAGTGCACTGCGATGCGCGTCATTTCCCATGCGACAGCAAACGGCGCGCGGTTGAGCCATCGAGGAAACCTGGCTGGCAAAAAGGTCAGCACTCCATCTATTCACAACCGTATCAATAGTCATGCGGCGGCCTCAACGTCCATTAGTGGAAAAACTTACGCCACGAAGCGTCAAGACGGGATCGGAGATCAACCGGCTCAGATCGTTTGAGGGTTGTGGAGACGGGCTCGCACAAGGATGGATCTGGAAGACCAACCATCTCTGAATAGACGGTTGGTTTCTTAGAAGGGCTGCCGAGTGGTTCGCGACTGAGATCTGCTGGTGTTCTAGACCTCTTCTTTGCGGATTCTACTTCGTGTTCTGTGAAGGAGATGTTCAGTGCATCGAGATGACCGGAAGATGCCGGGAAAAGGTCCTGCGACTGTGAGGAAGTTGGTGCTTGATCCAGAAACTCGCGGCGCATCTCTTCTTCCTCAAGTGGAACTGGGACTGTCTCTTGGCTGCCCGGTAGTCGATCATCGGCCTTGGAAAAGAGTGACGTTCGACTAGTGCTCGCAGATGTCGTGCGGGAAACAGTCCCGTACACGCTTTGGCGCATCGAAGTCGAAGTATAGAGGGATGTATCGAAAGATTTGTTCATCCTCGGGGCCTCCCTAATGAACTGAGCCGGCATAGCTTCGGGTATTGCTGATCGAGAACGACTTGGAACTTTGTCCAGAGCATTGGAAATCACACCTTCTCTCTCCTCTCCCCGTAGGGGACTTCCCCTGGCTCTCTTGGGTGATTCGGCTTTGCTGTCTATTTCGGATCTCCTCTTTGACTTGCTTGATTCAGTCGAGGCGAAGACTGTTGGTCCGGTGTGATTCCGAGTCAATTTGCGTGCCTTGACCTGAGCATGTGCCTTATCCAATATGTCGTCGAGAAGTACCTGCAACTGTAATAATTGGCCGGGTGATTCAGCCTTGGGAGCCCCTCCAGGTTCGGCATCGTCAAACCGGATCCACTTCTCACTAGCAGCTCTAGCTTCCATGTGAAAGGAATCGAGAATCCTGTCCAGCAAGTTGCTTTGGAAGCAATGGAATCGGATGCCACGGACAATCTTTTCGCTGCGGGCAAAAGCGGTGTCTTGTTCGGCGCGCTGCCGGGTCGACGACGGTGTAAGTGTCACATCGGGTATCTCGATGGCGAGGTTGTATTCTCGATTGAGCTTGTCAATGACATCTCTGACTGGGTCGGTTTGTGTAGGTTTCTTCGGGGTTCTCGGAGCTGACTGAGCGGTCTTCGTGTGCGGTGCCATGGTCGAATCGAGGAGCTTTGAGCGGAGAGGGAAGTCAGAATCCAAGTCCATGTCTAAGCTTTGAGAGCATGCCTACTGGTGTGTAGAGTGAACAGACGGCATAGATTCGGCCTCATAGCCTATCGCTTCGTATTGCCAGTTATCAAAGAAGCATTGCGTAGAAGCAATGTTGT